CACAAAAAAAAAAAAAAAAAAAATGTATATTTTTAAATGGATGAAATAAATCAGAGAAGAGTCATTCATGATATGTGAAAATTCTATGAATTATAAGTGCTAATAAAGAAAGTCTTTTGGAACACAGCCACTTCAGAGCAGAGCAGAGTTGAGTATTTGCAAAGGAGACTATCTGACCCACAAAGCCTAAAAATCCACCACATGGTCCCGTGCCCCTGGCATACATTATTCTTTCAGGAAATCTTGTGGTAGAAAGAGAGATGACAGACAGGAAAGTTGTTCAAAGGTAAAACTAGTGTCTGGACATGACTTTATTTTTAATATTTTCAACTTACAATACATAAGCAGATTGGTAAGCCAAGGGGAACTAGTTAGTGAGAAGTTTTGAAAAGATAAAATCTAGCAGTTAATGGTATGTTCATTCTTTAATATAGTTCTGATTATTTGTATCTGAGTTTCCCTTTCTCCAATTATTTTTATAGATTTCCAAGTAAAGATCATTCAGTCCTATTTGAAAATGATGATTTAACTCTTTCCTAGACATGCCTCCATTTTGGAGGGAAAAAAAGTGTAAGCTAGCATTTAGTCTCTCAAAATGCTTTTTACATTAAACTATTATATCAAATTGGAGTTTGAGCTTGATATAAATTTTAGTATTCCTTGTAGTATATGTCCCAAATTAAATTCTATTTAAATGAATATTTGCCACCATCTACATTTATTATATGAGAGATTTCTTGGAAAGAATGTTTTAAAATGTTGGTTTTTAGGGGCTGGGGATTTAGCTCAGTGGTTTGGTGGCCTACCTTGCAAGAGCAAGGACCTGAGTTCAATCCCTGGTACCAAAAATAAATAAATAAATAAATAAATAAATAAAATGTTGGTTTTAAAAACATTTGGGGTCATTGGTAAAATAATATCTTGTTCTTCCTTTGTCCTTTGTACAATCTGCTTTATATTACTGTTATTACTTTGACATTATAACAGAAATTTGGATCCCTGAGAATCCTTAAAAATATTTGAAAAATAAATGATTTTGGTGTAGTTTTTGTAATATATAAAGTATGGCTAAGAAATAATGATATATACTCTCCTGTGTAGCTTATGGAGCTGAATCTGAAAAATCTACCTGTTTCTGGCCTTCTCCATTTTTCCCTGAGGGAGATATGCCCAAGACCTTTCCAGACAAATGTCCTGAGCCCAGTCTCCTAATGTGCTAGTTTCTGATAGATAGCTTATGATTGCTCATTCAAGTGCTAATGTACCCAGACCTTGAAAAGTAAGTTGGATAGTAGAGAAGGATATAAAAGGCTTATCTACATATTAATTCTCAAACATAGGACCCACTTTCAGTGAGAGCCACATTTACCTGACTCTACTTCTCTGTAAAAGAGTCACTGCATGAAAAAAAAAAGAAAATTCTTTAAATTTTAAGACGAGTTATTTCCTAGCCCCTTGCAATTGACTTCCTCTTTCATTTTTCCCACCTGAATTGTTAACACTTTTAAAAAATCTTTTCTAGACTTATTTATGTGATAGAACATAGATATTATAGCCCATGGAAAAATCATGTAGAGTCTTCCCCAGGTTCACCCTTAATATGACTAAAATTGTCCTGAAATTCTGTTTAACTGAGTTTGTTTCAGGGGGTTAATAACCTTAAGTAGTAGGTACATTTTTAATATCTCTTTTAGATTTCAGATAATTCCTTATTGAAATCCAGAGCATAATTCATGCTTTCAGCACATCTAAATTCAAGCTCTAAGTATTAACTACAAACTATTTTGATAAGAGAAATCAGTACTTTTTTTGAGGTTTTAGGATAATCTAAAACTATATTGTGCATGCTTAGAATTAGTAGAATAGTTTCAAAACGAGATTTAATCACAAGTTTTACCCCTTTTGGTAGTAGTGGGGTGATTAAAAACCAATGAAACTGATTTTCTTCAGTGGTTTGTAAAACTAGCTCTAATAACAGTATCTCAGAGGGCATTCTGAGGACTATTTTGCCCTAAATTATAGCTCATTTTCATTTCCCATGTAATCAAGGAATAAAAGAATGAGGAGTAAATCCACTCTATCTGCAGGCATAGGAGTGGACCCACTCCATGCCTCCCTTGGTCTCGGGAGCTCTGCCTTAAACATGGGAGGAAGTATACAGTCACATTTTAGGCTACGTGAGATGACGCAAAAGGTGCCCCTGACATTGCTGGCCCCTGCATTAATCCTTCAAGGACATTTGCTAAGTATCTGTATGGATTAAGATAGAAGAAATTTGCCTGTGATTCTTTGGCACTATATATATGATTTTATGTGAAGATTCATTCTTTTTAACTACTGGATCCATCAAGAAAATGAAAAGAAACAACTGTGAAATGATGGTTGAAAGTTTGCATTCTGGTAGCATAGTGGTCTACATCCATAATCCCAGTACTCTGGGAAACTGAAGAAAGAGGGTCACAAGTACCAACGCAGCTTGCATAATCTGGCAAATTAGCCAGATGCTGCCTCAAAATTTAAAAATGAAAAAGGGCTGGGTCTCACTGCAGAGACCTGGGGTTCAGCCGGGTGTGGTGGCACACACTTGTAATCCCAGCATTTGGAAGGGTGAGGCAGGAGGATTACCTTGAATTAGAGGCCAGTTTGGGCTACAATAGTGAGTTCAAGGCTAGCCTGAAGTACATAATGAGATCCCATCTCAAAAAAAAAAAAAGACCCTTGGTTCAATCCCCCCAGTACTGAGAACAAAACAAGCTATTTTTATGTAAAGAAATGCTTCTGTCAACTTCAGTATAAAATATGGATTTACTTTTTTCCATTCAGCCTACCTAGTCTTCGTCCAATGTTGGATGTTAATTATTTGCCACTGACAGACATGAGGATAGCACGGACATTTTGTTTTACCAATGAAGGACAGGCATTATACCTGGTCTCTCCTACTGAAATTCAACGGTTGACCTACAGCCAAGAAATGTGTGATAATTTACAGGTAGGTCAAGTACATTTTTTTTTTAGTTGGACATGTTTTTTCAAAGTAAGAATGACAGAGATGTCCAGAAGCTACACTATTATTAGGTTAGACAGTAAATATGCCTTTTCTTGCTGTTTTAAATATATATTATTCACTGTGACCCTACTAATTTCTCCTAACTCTTGGTCTTAGTCCCTTCCCCTGTAGTAAAGACCTATAGAGCAAGATGTAGTAAAAATACAGATATCCAAAGCACAGCTGTACAGATTCTGTCTTGGTATTTGTAGGATATAGCCTGAACATCTGAACTCTAAGTAAATACCATATTTCCCCCAAAATAAGACCTACTGGGATAGTAATCAGCTTTAAAATCTAGACATCAAAAATGCAAGCCCCAGTCAGCCTATCCTTGTCTTAACTGCCACTACAGAGTAGCCATGAAGCAAAATAATATCTTCTGTGTGATAGTGGCCATCAGCATGGTAATGGCCAGCTGGAACTTATTTCTGGGTAGGTCTTATTTTGGGGAAAACGTGGTATTCCCCAGGTACTACAAAACTCTCCAAATATTGAGAAAAGATTCACCTTGCCATGCAGTAGATGCCTATTTTAACTCAGTTAAATGATCTTAAACAGTGTTATCATAATCTTGTACAGGCACTTGATAAAAAAATAGGTCCAGGATGGGTGTGGTGGCACACACCTGTAATCCCAGCACTTGGGAGGCTGCGGCAGGAGGATCACCCTGAGTTCGAGACCAGCCTGGGCTACATAGTGAGGTCAGTCTCAACTACATAGTGAGACCCTATCTCGAAAAACCAAAAAAAGGCCGGGTGTAGTGATGCACACCTGTAATCCCAGGCTGAGGCAGGAGGATCTCTGTGAGTTCGAGCCCAGCCTGGACTACATAGTATGTTCCAGGACAGTCTCAACTACATAGTGAGACCCTGTCTCAAAAACCAAACCAAAACGAAATAGGTCCAGCTTTCTTGCACATACCCCAAAGGCTTCCTGTTTCCTGGAGCAGTCCATGTTTTGCCGAGAAAAGGGAACCATGGCAGAAAAGAGGCTGTACTTATTAAAACAGATTCAGAAATCTAAATTGGTAATCATTAATTATAAGCAGAAAGTAATCCTCAAGTGAATATATTTACTTCCTCCTGCTTTTCAGAGAAAAGAGAAGAGAAGAAAACTTATAGTATGTCAGTTACTACAAATAGAGAAAGAAATGTGAAAGGAAACTATAAGCAAAGCAAAACCACCTGGAAATGATATGGAAAGCAGACAGTCTTTTCTTGATGTGCTCTAATATACCACAGTGTTACCCTTTTATCTATTAATTTATTCTTAATTGTTGCAATTTTTTTCCCTTTCATTTTGGTACAGGACATGCTAGGAGATTTGTTCACCCCCATAGAGACACCAGAAGCTCAAAATAGAGGATTTCTGAAGGGACTTTTTGGTGGAAGTGGACAAACATTTGACAGAGAAGAGCTATGTGAGCAAGTTCCTTATTACAAAAATCAACCTCTCTCTTTCCCTCTTTTTTCCCTCCCTCCCTCTCTCTCCATCTCTCCATCTGTCTCTCTTTCTCTCCCTCTCTCTGTAATTTAGTATGTGATCTCAAATTTTAAGTGAGGTGTTTTTTGCTTGTCTTAAAGTTTGAACATATATTGCTTTCTGTAGCCTGAAAATTGTTTCTTTTACCAAATGTTAATAAAATTGGTCACTTTATATTAGGAAATAGTTTAACAAAAATGACACATATAATTCAAACAAATAATGAGCAAGCTAACAGATTTCTCATATGTAGATAGACATATCTTCCTGGCAAGGTGAAGACATTCAATTATTAAAGTCTGAAAAACAGTTTTTAATGTGTCTGTCTATAATCACTCCTGGGAAACAGATTATTTAAAGTGAAAGTTTTATCAATGCCACAGAATAAACTACTCTAAAACTCTACCAGGGAGACCCTTATGAACAGTAATAAAAAAGCAGAAGGAAAATGCTAGGGGACATTTTTCAGAGAGAGGATAATAATATATTTCCCATAATATGCTGCCATGATTTGACCTTGCAGATTAAAACTGTCTTCCTCTTGAACTTTGGGATTTTTTATTTTTCCCCATACTAGGGATCAGACTCAGGACTTGTGCTTGTGAGGCAGGCACAGTGCCACTGAGCTAAATCCCCAGCCCCCTTGAATTTTTAACTATGTAAAAAGATCTAGCTGCCATGATATAATGTAATATTATTTGGCCATAAAAAGAAGAGAAGCACAGATATATCCTACAACGTGGATGAACTTCAGAAACATCACACTAAATCATCTGATCAGACACAAAAGGTCATATATTATGTAATTATATTTATATGAATGTCTAGAAAAGGCAAATCTAAAACTGGGGATTTAGCTCAGTGATTCTGCTGACTGCCTTGCAAATGCAAGGTCCCAAGTTCAATCCCTGGTACAAAAAAAAAAAGAAAAGAAAAAGAAAAGAAAAGGTAAATCTATAGAGACCGAAAGCTGACCATTGGTTCCTGGGACTGGGACAAGAATAGGGAATGCCTGCTAAAGAAGTTATGATTTCTTTTTATTGTAATGGAAATAGTCAAATCAGCAAGTGTAATAGTTGCACAACTTTGTGACTACACTAAAAACCAATGAATTGAATACTTTTTTAAGGATAAACTTTATGGTATATGAATTATATCTCGATAGAGCTCTTATTTTCAGAAAGCTAAGCCAGGTATAGTGGCACTCACCTCTAATTCCAGCACTCAGGAAGTTGTAACTAAAAGACCAGCCTGAACTACATTGTGAGTTCAAGACCAGCCTGCACTATACAGTGAACATTGCCCCCCCCAAAAAAATTTTTTTTATCCCATCTCAGTGTTATTTTGTTGGAAATGTTCACTAGATTTCTGGCAAGGTAACTTGTTTTAATATTTTTTAACTTTATTGAAAATGATTGAAACTAGCTTTGAACGTCATTGGGAAAATTTTAGTCTTTTATGAAGTTACAAAATCTCGATGTATTAATGTCCATTATTTACATACTGTATTCCTGTTCCCCCATATTCTAGGATTTACAGAAAGAAAGAGAAAATCTGAGGCTTATAAAGCCTGATAAATCAAAACGAACATAGAAGGTTGGAATAAAAACTTGGGAAAAAATTTTAAGCAAAATATCAGATCCTAAAATGGCTAAAACATGAGGGCTCATGTCTTGAGAATGCCAATTCAACCATGTCAAGAAATGCAGTAACCCTATTTGTATGGAAACCACCCCAGCCAAACACACAAAGCCATGTGGTAATAGTATTTCTTTGAGTCTCTCTCTGAGAATTTTTCTTGGCTAAGTGCTACCATCTTCAACCACATACATATGGCAAGACAAAATATGTCACTCGTCTATGAGAATTATGACAGTAGAATTTAAGATAAATATTTTGTTTTGGCGACAGTCTTGACTGTTTGAATTACTTTAACAAATGTTTTACATTGCTATGGCTTGAATTCCTAGTTGGGGAAGCCACAGCAGGAAAAGCGTCCCGCAGCCTTGCACAGCACATCCCTGGACCAGGCAGTATAGAAGGAATGAAAGGTGCTGCTGGAGGGGTGATGGGGGAGCTGACCCGAGCCCGGATTGCACTAGACGAGAGAGGACAGAGGTTGGGAGAGCTGGAAGAGAAGACTGCAGGCATGATGACCAGTGCAGAAGCGTTTTCCAAACACGCACATGAGGTAAATTGCCTAAGTGAATATGGGCCTCCTCAGATAGTCGTAATTGTAAATATGTAGGCCCTGCACAAGAAACTTAAACAGAGATGCCATATAAATATAATGCTTGACAGCCAGGGTAACCTGAATGTCTTATAAGTATTATGATTCTCCCTGATTTAGGGAGATAATTTTTAACCATAATGTATGAATACTTTTTACTTTAGGAAATCATTATCCATTAGATCTGCAGGTTTGTTTGGAGTATCTGCTACACACAAGGTGTGTAGGTGGAATACGTGTGCCCCACAACAAGGATAGTAGAGGCTGGATTCCACATCTTCCATTTTGTCTTAGTCATTAAAAAATCTCTAAGTCTTTATAGTTTGAGTGCTTTTTTATAAAAATAAAAAAACTTTCTCATGCACTTTATTCTATAAAATATGACAACTTGTTTTATTATGTTTTGAAATTTCATTAAAATGATTATCTCAATATGGGCTTGCTTTGAATAGTGCTTTTAAGATGTTTTTAGCATTTTATGGTGACTGTTTTTCTCTTTTCAGTTAATGCTGAAATATAAGGATAAGAAATGGTACCAATTCTAAACTTCTAAGGAAGCTGTGACTGCTTTGAGAAACCATTATTCAGGGAGACCAAATTTATTCCCAGCATCACTATTCAACTACTAGAAGTCAGTTTCTTCTACAGAATGTTCCATTACAGTCCACTGAAGTTATTGTAAAGGAGACTTATCAAAGACAATGTACAACCCAAAGGCTGGAACCTGGTTAAAACCCAAGGTAATGGCTGAATATGCCTGTTCCCATGTGGAATGGAGCTATCCTCTTAGCATGTGATTTGCTAAAGATTTACATTTAGAAACTATGGGGAGTCCTTTTGATTTGAAATTCCTGTACAAACAAAAGCATTAATGCACTTAATGAAAAAATCTTTGCATGATAAATTAACATCTTAAGAGGAAAAGAAAAAAAGCATGTGTGACAGAAGAAAAAGATTTATGATAAACTATTTTTATAAATTGGGCCACACCCAACAATTTAAAAAAATCTGCATTAGAAGATATCAATGCATCTCAAATATATTTCCCACACCCAATGAAAAACAAACAAAAACCCAGAGTTTTCTTCTCATCTGTACATTATTATACTTAGAATACTGAATTCTTAAAAGAAGAGCTTGATTAATGTTCTTCTCTCTCCATTGTATTTTACACCATTCACAGTTCTCAGTCATAATCAAGTATTGCTAGTACAGTAAATTATTCCCAGCACAGTTATTGCCATTTCTATCACCTTCAGAATGGGTTGCTATTTTTAGTCACTAAATCATACAGGGTTGGATCTCCTTAAAGCATTTTTTTCAGCCTGGTTTGTACTCAGCAAGGGAATTGGCTATAGGTTTGGGGAACTCGACTCTTAGAACAAGGCAGATAGCTTTGAGAACTAATTTCACAAAGAGTGAAATTTCACATATCCCAGTTTCGGTTTCTAAAATGATATATTTTTAAAGCTCCATTTGTATCCATGTGTGTCAGTTACACAGTATATTACTGTTCAAACCCAGTAGGGTCTACAATCCCAAGGTGCTTTTGCAGCCTGACATTCACAGACCAAACTGGTCATTCTCTTTAGCATGATTCAGTAAAACCTCAGTTAATGTATTGGGAAATTAATTCTGATTTATTACATTTCTGATTAACAAGGGCTTTTACTAGAAAATACTTTTTAGTTTAGTATTCAATAGAAAATATTCATAAAATGTGGTTTTGCTGTCTTGGCTTCACTCATCATTATGAACAACCAAAGTACATAGAGTTTTTATGACAAAAAAATCAATAATTTTGTCATTAATCAAGTCAACTAATATAAGCTACAAAATTATATCAGTAAATACCAAATTCATATCCCTTACTTAAAATTCAAGTATAGAGCACCCCACAAGATAAAAGTTATCCATTTGTTACAATGGATAACTTTTCTGTTACGAAAAGTACTAGAGCTTGAATAAAAGACAACTACTAGTACTATTTAACATGATTCTGGAAGTCAGAATGCAAAGGAAAGCATATATGTACTTTAGGACCCATCTAATATGCTGTTCCTTCAGAAACAATCTTTTTTTAATGTTACAGGTTTGACGTACTGAATTTTGATGAATCAAGGTCTTACTGGATTTACATTTGAGTTTCTTAAGAATTTGTACAGTCTGGGTTATTTTCATAGACAAAATTTTTGTTTGTTTTTTTAGATTTTTTTGTTTGAAGTGGTGCTTCCTTTAAAATATTGTCAGTAATATTGAAAACAGAAAAGATGATTAAAACAGTCAGAAAATATATAGTAGGATAACATTTTGCAAAGCACTTGAATTCATCTGGCTTCTTAAAAAAAAACAAAACAAAAAACTTTTCATAGATCTCTCAGACTCTTATAACAGGTAACAGAATCTGGATTTGAAATACAGACATGATGCCTAAAATTGCAGTGAAAATATTACATAAAGTTGAAGCCAGATTTGGAAAACATTGACAACCAAATTACAGTGTACTCTTTCTACCATAAACCTCAAGAACCCAGTCATCTAATTTTTTTAATGAATATTATATGATTTCTACATTTAAAAAATAACCTAGAAGAGTGATAACTTGGCTTATTTTAGAAATAATGGAATTCAGCCCAAATTATCATTAAATTCAATAAATTCCTAGAAGCCCAATAAGCTTTAGCTTGTTCTGAGCTGAGAGAATAGCTCAGTGGTAGAGCATTTGCAAACCATGCACAAGGCCCTGGGTTCTATCCCCAGCACTGCCAAACAAATTGATGTAACTTTTTCTATATCTGGGTTTCTCAATAGTAGCACTATTAGCACAAAATTTTCTGTTGTGGGAGACTGACCTCTATTGCAGAATGTTAGTAAGATCCTTGGCCTCTACCCACTAGATGCCAGCAGAAACAATAATGACAATCAAAAATGTTTCCTGCAATTGCCATATTGTTCCCAATTAAGAGTCACTGTTCATCTTTTAAAGATACAGATTGTGAAATATGTAATATATCTCCTGAATAAAATTTCACATAAGTGCATATTGTCAACAAGATAAATTATTAGACCCAAAGTTACATGTGTGGCTCATATCCAATAAAATACAATTTCGAAGAAACTGTTTATGAACCAATGAGGAATCATTATTTAACATTTTAAAGCACACAGAAAATGCCAAAAGGATATTATACTCTTTTGCAAGAGAAGTGCTTAAAATTTCTAGCTTCAATGAGTAGATCAAAAGTTTGTTGTTAGCACATCATTTGGAAGTAAACCATGCTTCTGAAACACTTGAAAAGAACAGGTTCATATAAGTGATTTAAATGTGCTTACAAAATTGTTTTCATAAGCCCTGAAGCCCTTTCTTAATGTAAGGGTAACTTTGTCCCACAAACCCCTGAGAAGTGGAATGCAAATTAATGAGGTTTTACTGTATCAAAATTATTTTTGTAATTCAAAGAGATAGCAATAACAAGAATCTAACGTGGGTGTGATTTTTCTCTTTGAACATTTTTGTTCTATTGCATTAAACTTATACACACATACACACACACACACACACACACACACACACAAGATCACCACCACCACCATTTTTATCATTATCGTGGGAAAATGAATACTGTTGATCTGTGTAATCTTTTGCATCATCTCATATTTTCACCATCTTGGAATGTATTTTTAAAATCTAATAACCTTGACAGTGATGCAGTTGATGAACCTGAGCCTTGGTTGTCATAAAATTATATCTGCTAAAGTAACATCAGAAGATAAGGCTTGCAAACTACAGTCTGGACTATGACTCCCTTCAAAAATAAGCCCTTCATAGTGTTCCAGCAGATGACCTTTCATTCTATTCATCAATGAGAATATAGGCTACTTGTTTATGTGTTCTAATAATATGTGAGCAATGTGAAATCCTCCATTTATCTTGGGGTTTGGAGGAAAAATGACTGAATTATCATTTACTACAAAAGCAGTGCTACTGACTTTTCCTCCTATGCTTCATTGAGGCCCACATTTAGTGTCTCAATCACAAGTATCATTGTCTGACTGACAGAACTGAGTGAGATGTAGTCCAGTATTTCCATCATAATGACAATTTTTCAAATCTTTTGGAATTGATTCTCAATAAGTCAATATCTAGGTCTCTCTAAAAGTTTTTAAGGGATTTTTAAGGGAAAAGTTCCTTGTTTATATGACTCCATTTACAGTTTTAAAGGTACTATCTATCCATTATCTACATGACTTTGAGAGAAAAAAGGAATAAGATTAAGCCTAAGATTGAGGAAGAGTAGGGTAGGTTCTTGAGATACAGAGAGCTATAAAATGTTTGGACAGATGGGGAAATTAATGAGATTTGGAAAAGTAAACAGAAATTCTCTCCTTGGCGTAAGAACATTGGAACAACCTGGGCCCACGTGGGGAAAAAAGAACACTGTAACCTGACCACATTGGTTTAGAAAAGACATTCAGCGCCAAAGCAAGTTGGCACAGCATATGAAGTCTTGCTCTCTACATCAGTAGAAATGTAAACTTCCCCTGTCTTCATCATCTAACCCCATTTTGGCTGGACACTATTTCATGTGTACACTGCTCCAAATGCAAGAAATACTTGTCATGAACTTTAGCTGAGTATTATCTATAATATGCACTATTCCAAGGAGCACAGTTTTGTCAGGATAAAATGTTTGGTGTGTGTGCTTGCAGATGAGATATCCCTAAACAAAAGTAATGCAGAACAGATAAGTCCAACTTGGGAAAGGGGAGAAAGTGCCAGTGCGCAAGAGTATTAGGGTGGGAGGGACATGATCAGAAGCACAGATAGATACCTTTGATTATGTATTTATCTAGAGGAATGATTCTCAATCTTGGCTGTGCATAAAAATCACTTGAGATTTTAAAACTCCCAAATATATCAAAATTCCTTGGAGTGGAAAGCAGACTTCAATCTTTTTAAAAGCCTCCAAGGTGGTTCCAGTGTCAAACCAAAGTTGCTAACTACTGCTTTGTGGCCAACTAAGGCTGATATACTTGTCTACTTTGGCTGGTGTCTTGGGATCAGAGAAGGCAAGACGTAAGCAATACAGTGTTAACTGCATTTGTACTTATTCTGTGCCTCTCACAGCACGAAAGTCTGAGTGAATTTCTCACCAGTAAGCACCCTATTAAATCCTAATAACTCTGTCATATTCTCATATGTGAATTACCCATTAATTATTCCAACTCCAACTTATAAATTTTTTATTGTCTTTTGCATATAACATCTCAAGATACCGGAAGTACATCCCACAGTAAATTCGACAGCATAGAAAGCTAAGTGGAAAACTAATTCTCAATGTTTGAACAGTGACAATTTTCAAAATAATAGTTTACTAAATTAGTTCTAAATTTAATAGGCATTCTTCTTTTGGAGAAGATACCTGTTCTGCAATACGTATATTTTATTGGACTAAATATTAACAAAGAGAACTCTTCCTTTTTTATTGTTTGAATCAAAAGCTCCCAGGGCCACTTAGATTCATTTTCTTCATTAATAGATATGTATTTAAAGAGAAAAATGCCTAGAGTTTACTGACCTCTGGTGCCCTGAAAGAGTGCTTACACCATCACAAAGGGAAAGTAGGCCGATCAAAGACAGCAATACACAGTGACAAAAAATTCAAAGTAATCTCTTCTCACACTGCTTTCCCTCCAGTCTTGGCCCATCCTTTTCAACTGCAAAGCCAGAAAATAAACAAGGTGGTGGTTTTGAACAATTGTACACAGGTTCAAAATCTCTAATAACCTATAATTTTTAGTACTTAATTACGTGATGTTTTATTCTAGGAAAAAAAGCAGACAACACCATTGATGTATCTTTCTTTCATCTTCAGAATTTTTGCATCTTTTCAGAAAATGACAAATTACTATTTTTCTGTTGCACTCAGCAATTGTGACTATACTTAAAATTCTTGTAGTCTGTAGAGATATCAATAAAATTGTATATGTTTGTACATAGATGCTCTCTTATGTCATGATGTCATGTATTCCTAATGACTTTTGCCATGATTAATATGGGTGGAGGTGAGATCCTCATTTGCAAACACTGTGTAGTGTAGTTTTACAATTAGAAATGTTTTTAAAGACAAGGATGAGGTGGAATAACATATAGCTGAGCAAAAGCAAGGAACAGAAAAAACCAAGCCAAAGTTCCCCAAATTAACTTTATTAACTAGAGATTAATAAAGGAAAAGGCTAGAAATAGCCACTCAGATTTTCTATTAAATTGGAGAGATTTGTAACATTTTACTGGAACACTTTAAAGATAATTTCTGAGGCTGTTCGCTGAGTTCCACCTTTGGTAATAGTCCAGCATAAAAACTGAGATGGAATAAGAAGTTAAACACAACGTGCAGTACTAAACTTTGCTGCTGCCTCGCTTATTTTCCAGGCAGAAAAATTAAACTTATTGTCTTACGCTACCACCTTCTGGTCATGAAAAGGCCCAGCAGTCTACTGTGTCCTGCTTTCATGAGCATAGTTAATTGCTCTTCAAGAACTTTACTTGTATTTACACTGTATCCTTAACTAACAACTTATTCTTCTAAATTCTAAATATCTCAGGAAATTTCTCCCACTATTATAATTTTCTCCCATATAAAAATTATAAAAAATGGCCAATCCTAGACTAAATTCTTTTGTTTTTTGTTGGTACCGGGGATTCAACTCGGGTCCTTGCGCTTTCAAGGCAGGCCACTAAACTGCTGAGCTAAATCCCGGCCCCAACTAAATTCTTTTTAATCAGAAGCATCAATATAAAGATAGATCCTTCAAAATACAGGTACCAGCCTTCCTTTCAGAATTATATCAAAAAGATAAATTCATTTTATCTTTCAATTATGATGTCAAGTCCACAAACCTACATTCCATACTTAAAATACTGACTTGACTTCATCCTTTCCTTTCTTTCTCTCTTTCCTTTCTCCTCCTGACTTCTCTCTCCCTGCTTATACTCCCTGCTTTCCACTTCTCATTCTCCCTTACTTTGCATCTATTCATTCAGTTAAAAAGTCAACCACAGTAGTATTTGTTTATGTGTTTGTTCAATTTGTGGACAAAGGCCTATAGAGAGGTCTTTTACAACCCCAAACTCATTGCTTACTTACTATGAGTTTTTACACATATAGAAGGAATATTATCATACCTAAGAAATTTTAATG